CGCGGTTCATTTGAAGAATGAAAAAAACCTTCAGATGTCTGTGTTTTTGAGTTATATTTAATTGAACATTAAGAGATTTAACCTTCTTTTGAACCAGGCATTCTTTTGGACTTCTCACGCATATTAATGTAAGAAAGCATGTATTTGGGATTTTTGTGTGCATAGTGAGTAATTAAAATTATCCATTATCCACGCAAAACTTCGCTCGAAAAGCTGTTATAGCAACTACACTACGGGAAACGAAGGTTGTGTATTCGAATCCAGCATTGTACAATCCTGTTTTTTCTATTCACTTCCCGCTCGTGGTTGTGGAACAGAAGATAAAGGCAAGCTACCATAGTCTATCTTCATTACTGTCTGCGAAAGCCAAATTCAAATGCTTTCTTTTGGGTTAATCACGTCCTGTCGATGCGTGAAAATTATTATAATTAAGCGAAACGTAGGGAATATGGAATAACAGTGCACCTAGACTTTTTTAACTTCGGGCCAAATATTAATTTGGAAGAGGCGAGGACCAGCTCAAAATTATCGACTAAAAATTAATTCAGTAATTCAGAGTTTGCTTCTTTTATTATCAACTTACGTATAATAAAGTTTTAAACTTGTGTATCATAAAGTTATCCAGTTGTACGTAATGCGCACACGACGCGTACACAACCGTGTACTTCAACTTGAAGATTTCAAATGACTGCGACTTAAGAATACTCACTAGACAATAAGAGCAATATTTACATTTTACATAACTCATCTTGTCTATCTATCTCTCTTTTTTTTATTTATTTATTTTTTTTTTTAAGATGTATCCCAAATTAGTCATGCGGGAAATCAACTTCATAACTGATTGGGTTTGGGAAGAATTTGAAATTTTGGGAAACCTTTCAAGGAACTGCTCCTTTAATTACCAAAAACCTATTCAGAGAAAATATCGGGAATGCCGTAACGGATTCTTTATGATACTTTGATCTCAAGTAAAAAAGTAATGAAGGCAGTGATTTTCGAAAACAAATATTGTTTGTGTGAATCCTTTCACGTATACATAAAAATCAGTGGTCAAACGATTATTTCCTTGAAGTCTCAGATAGAAGAAATTAATGTACTACAAGAAAGGTTAATTTCCATTACCACAAATCCTCTGAGAAAAAGAAAACGTAAAAAAAGACAACAAAATTGTGTTTTCTTGCTGGGAAGAATGCATCAATTTACTCACGAATTTCGAAAAATTCGTTTTGGAACTTCGGTTATATTAAGATAACACTAAGACGTTTGTCTTAATGTTAAAGATATCGAGGTACTGTCACTATCCCCCTCCCTTTTGCGGTTTTGTGTTAACGCGTAAATTTTGTCGAAAATCATAAATGTCATCGAAGTGTCCCTTCATTGCAAAAAGCAATATTGCATTTGCGAGGCAATTTACATGCAACTTTTCAGACCCATATATGTCAACGAAGAGTATAGTAGATCGGAAAATCCCCTAATTCCGATCTAGATTTACTATGTAAATAAATTGTTTCGAAATTCGAAACCACTCGGCAAAAATTTCATTCGTCACAAACAAAATTAGAAATGTTCGTCCTAGACAATAACCCAGCAGTATGTTACATTTTACGACTGCAATATTACTAACTGCGATGTCAGTGAATGTCCAGCGCCTCCCACAGCGTTTGGCAACCTCAGGAACAATCATAACAATTGCGCATCGCTATTCTTTCGTCCGTTTTTGTCTCCGGGAATAGGGTCGTATCCCCAAATCGAAACGAATTACTCCGACGTCGCGAGATCGGTGAACGAGTGAAATGAGTATTTTATTTCGTAATTCAATTGGGAAGTGTTGCATTATAATTACATCTTTTAAGAAAGGATTTTGGCCTAAAATGCGCTAATTTTGCGTTGGACAGTCTTGAGAATTGCTTACGCCGAAGGCCGGAGCCTCGTCAAGAATTCAGTAAATACGAAGCGTTTTTGGGTTACCAACATGAATTCTAAATCTATATCTACAAAATCAGCCATACCTTCATTTCTTAATGAAATGCTTTATCAGTGAATCAAAATGAAGCACCTGTTGGAGTATTTTTAGATATTTCGGTCTTAAAGATATTTTTAGATATCTTGAAGTCATTGATCATAATAATTTTCTTTCTAAATTATCTTCACATGGAATTCGTGGTATTACTCTAGATTGGTTATGTTCGTACCTAAAACAACGCTCTCGGAAAGTGGAAGTACCGTAGTGAAGTGAAAAGACATTATTTACTCGCCTTTCTGATTCATTGCCAACTTGTCCCGCATGGGTTTCGCAGGGTTCGATTTTAGGCACTATGGTTTTCCTTATGTTCATAAACAATGTGTTCTCGGCGATTCGAGACGGAAGAACAGTTCTCTTGGCTGATGTTACGAATATTCTTTGCGATAAAGAAAGAGTGACTACTACAATATTAGATTTTCAAATTTGTTCCAAAATTACAAATAAATACTAAAAGAAGGAAGGGAAAACGGTTTCAATGCTGTTTTCCATTTGAAATAAACAATTGCCCACTCCACTGATTATGAAGGACATGTCATTGACTGGGTAACAATATTTTTGGGTCTTTGCATTCATTCAAACTTCAAATGGAATATCCATTTAAATGAATTGAACACAAAATGAAGTGTATTATGCTTCTAATTCTGAATTCTTACCAGAATAGTCAGCTTTCATACTTCTCATTGTATATATTTCATGAATGTTCCTTCCCGCCTGAGGCGAACAATAATCAAATCCCACCCATATGATCCTTGAAAGCCTCTCTTTATTGTGCTAGGAATTTTACCACTGCCGTCCAACCACTGCCGTCCATCTTGATTTACATGTCAGAAGTTTTTGTAAGAAATGTCTTAAGTAATATAATAATTAGTTTTTGTCAAAAAAAGTACTTTAAAATAAAATGAGTTGGAAAATATCAGATGGACAAGACTCGAGGATATTTTATGTTGTCTCCTTATCTGTGGGTCATCAGTGTAGCCTGCTGTTTGTCAAGCCATTCTGGCGGGGAGGAAAGGTCCGTGGCTGCGATTGGCTCTAGTGTTACAAGGGAGGACATGCAGATCACAGCAGCCAACAATAGCGAACAGTCTGGCTTCGGTTCTTGCATTTAGACACCCCTGTGTGAGGTATCCTAAAAAATTATAAGATGTGCTTCAAATTTAAGGGGACAAGATATCACCCAGATCGATCATGGCTTGCCCATTTTGATGAAAATCCTCTGTATATCCTAGGCATTAGTGCTGTTCAGACTGACATTTTGAGAAATACAACTTTTTTGGATTTAAGAATTCTGAAAACATTTTTTTTATGTTATGTATACAAGAAAATAATTACTATGTAGAAGAGAAAGTAAAAACCTTTTTTGCTATTATGTACCCATAATATTTTTCCTATCAAAATATCAGCACTTTATTGTGAAGCATTACATAATTTTGTCTATATGTAGTATACTAGAAATCGAAAGTGTTGAAGTCAAGATATTCGTAACAAATATTTGAAGTGCAGACAAACTAGTAGCTCTATTTGCAATTTTGTTTCAAAGAAAACAACCTGTAGTTTAATTTATGAACCACTATCATCACATCATGGTATGGAATTCAGTATCAGTGCTTAAGACTTGCTGCTTGTACAAATAGTATATAATGTCTAAAATTAAAAATTTTCTTCTTTTACTTCACAAATTCAACTCTTTATTTTTCTTTCTTTTTCTTTCTTTTTCTTTCTTTTTCTTTCTTTTTCTTTCTTTTTCTTTCTTTTCCTTTCTTTTCCTTTCTTTTCCTTTCTTTTTCTTTCTTTTTCTTTCTTTTTCTTTCTTTTTCTTTCTTTTTCTTTCTTTTTCTTTTCTTTTTCTTTTCTTTTCTTTCTTTCTTTCTTTCTTTCTTTCTTTCTTTCTTTCTTTCTTTCTTTCTTTCTTTCTTTCTTTCTTTTTCTTTCTTTCTTTCTTTTTCTTTCTTTCTTTCTTTTTCTTTCTTTCTTTCTTTCTTTCTTTTTCTTTTCTTTCTTTCTTTCTTTCTTTTTCTTTTCTTTCTTTCTTTTTCTTTTCTTTCTTTCTTTCCTTTTCTTTTCTTTCTTTCTTTCTTTTTCCTTTCTTTCTTTCTTTTTCTTTCTTTCTTTTTCTTTCTTCCTTTTTCTTTCCTTCTTTTTCTTTCCTTCGTTTTCTTTCCTTCTTTTTCTTTCCTTCTTTTTCTTTCCTTCTTTTTCTTTCCTTCTTTTTCTTTCCTTCTTTTTCTTTCTTTTCTTTTTTTTTCTTTTTTTTTCTCCACAAGTGAATCTGAATTTCCGAAAATGGAGCCCTATGTGATGAATTCCACTCGTGATCGAAAAATAATTTTATAATAAATAATAAAAAAAATTAAATTGTAAGATGCAGATTTTGCCAAAACTTCATTCTTATAAATGTGTACTCTAAACATGTCAGTTGCATGCTACAAAACACATTTTGTTGGCAATATTACCCAGACATTTATAACAAAAAAACTTCATTTCCTGTAAATGCAGGCTGATATTAATTTTTCTCTCGCATTTACATATGTTTATTACAAAATTTATATATAATATAAAAATTTATTTATATATAAATTTTTATTATTTTTTGATTTTATATTATATTATTATTTATATTTATTTATTATTAATTTATTATAAATTATAAAAAATTAGTTATATACAAAATTTTCCAGAACATATTATATGAGGGCAGTTTAGTAATTTTTATGCGAAGTGTAGAGCCAAGCCCACTATTTGAATGAAATGGTGAGAAATAACTGGAACATTTTGAAGGTCTATCTAAAGGAATCATGATACATTGCAGTTGCTGAACAAACATTATTTTATGGCTTTTCTGAGCCACAAAATATGATCATTGATGTAATTCATTGCAACATTTAGGAGTATAATAGCTTGTGAAATAGAATATTGAGGGCTTGCGTAATAAAAATTTGTTGACATTCCTAAAAGTTTATCTACCTCTGTTTATTAGAAAGTAGTTGGAGTTTTCAAACCAAAGGATGAAGAACCATATGGGAGACTTAATCCAAAATGGACAAAATGGATGCATAAATTGTGCTGTCCATGTTGCTTTGGACGGTCCTGCCTTATACCAAATCAGGGATACCTGTCAGAAGCTGGTGCAAGTCTGGTTGACCAAAAGTTACAACTTAATGTTGTGCCAAAAACAAAGGTGAAGTAGAATGTGATTTTTTTCTTATTTACACATTTCATGAAGTAAACCTTCTGTACCTGTCCAACAGTTTTGCAGTGTTTGTTCAGATGATTAGTACAATAACCACTGCATATTTTTAGGTTGTAAAATTGGTGAGTGAAACATTCAATTACCCCCGAATTGACCGTCAAAAAACCAGAGTAAAAAAGGTTATAATGGAGCAATTTCCAAACGTAGGACGTCGATTTAACAGAATAGGACTTCCATCGAAGGTAAGTTCAGTTCTTAATTGTGATAAAATTTCTGTATTTAGTTTCATGAATTTTCAACTTTAATTCTCTCAGTGTATACCTTAATTTGCATTAAATTTTCAGGCAGGTTCCTTCCAACTCTTTGTAGATGGATACAAAGATGCAGATTATTGGTTGCGGAAGTTTGAGTTGTATCCATTGCCTGGTAAAGTCCAACATGATTTTCAATTACAATTTGAACGTTTGGTTGTTCTGGACTACATTATACGAAACACGGATAGAGGAAATGATAATTGGTTAATTAAATATGATCAACCAAACATTCAACCTGCTGCAACAAGTACATTAGATGGAGAAATGATGGATGCAACTGTGAGTATTTAGAAGTTGCCTCTTAGGAGTATTACATTTAAAAATAACCAGTGCATGTTTTTGGGTTGTAAAATACGCCATAAATTCATTTGTTTGAAATGTATATACAAAATGCCTCCTTATAATTGACCTCCGCTTCAACTAGCTTTTGTGTGTTTGCTGGTGGTGGTGGTGGTGTATGATGACACTGACATCATAATCATTACATGTTCATTTTTATGTATGTATACACACACACACATACATATACTCATACACATATACATTTATACATGTTCTTGTACATATACATATACATATACATATACATATACATATTCATAAAAATAAACTTGTATCAATTTAGTAAGACTTAATACATGTGTACATAAGCATATTGTATTACGTACTATAAATATAGCAAGATACAGAAAAAGAAATTTTTTTCTCCACAGAGGAAATTCTTGCTGGAAGCTCTCACTTATTAACATTGCGTAGGCGTAACATTTTACCAGTAATTTGAATGCAGTTTAACCAGCAGCATTGTTCAACCTGTCCCATAGGGGTTTACTAAGAGGATGTGTACTACATTAAAAATGTCCTATTTATCAGTAAAAATGTGTGGGTTAATATTTGAGGAAAGATAATTTATTGTAGATTAATTTACTAATTGTATGTGTTTGTACATGTCACAATATTATAATTTGTCTGTTTATAATGGTAGTTGTTTTATTCTACCATCATGTTCATTTAGAATATCTTAAGCATTTGTCTTCTAAGTCTGCTAATCTGAAAAAATGTGGTCTTCTCTACTTTCTAAGGATTAACTGTTCTTGGTTCTCAATTCATCCTATAAATTTAATGCTGTACCTTATCACCTCTCCTGTTGACCCTTACTTCAATTTGCTGCTTGATTGTAATAACTTCTTCACTAATTATTACCACTATTTTTTATAATGTCTTTAAAGAATTTTCCTCAACATTATTTTTATCCCTTTATTTATCCAGTGCATATTTCAATTGTACCCTTTGCATATGTTCCTAATGATATGTGCAGTTATACATTGGTTACTAAGCAGTCTTCATGGTGAATGCAAAATTCATGGACTTCCAACAATTGTCTTTATTTGTGGTTGGCAATAAAATTCAACTTATTATAATAGTGATTGCTCAAGTGATCTAAGAGTTCATTCAGTTTCATAACTTATTAAGATTTCGATACTTTCATAGACTTCAAAAATTGCATTTGACAGTATGACAGGAACCTCTGAGAGACAATGTTTTTAAGATTATGATGCAAATTCTATCAAAAAGTGCAAGTTAAAAACACTTGCATTGCATTAGATATGCTGTTTCTATTCTGCTTTTAATACTAAAGTGACTATGAAGATAGCATGTACTTTTGGTCGCAACGGTGATGGACCTAGGATTTGTGGAATGTTGCATGCACAATTCCTGTTATTACAGGGGCAAATTAAGAGAGACTGTCACATATGTAGCTATATCAGAAGTCTTACTTGGAAGTGCGACTGCCTTCCTGCATCAAGATTTATTAAAGAATTGTGCCCCCAAAATGTATTCTAAACAAACTTAAACGAATCCTCAAACTTTTTGCTATTTGAAACCACATGCAACTTCCTGTTTTGAAGACCAATATATCCTCTCTCACTCCCTCTCTCTCCCTCCCTCTCCCTCCCTCTCCCTCCCTCTCCC